CCAAAATCATTCTATGGTTCTGTGATTACTTTTTTTACCCTAAAGGGAAAGCTGGGGCCCCCAAACAGGCCGATGACTGCAGCCAAAGCCACAGGGTGCATGAAAGCAAACCCGAGCTCCCTCCCCAAGGGCTTCTGCTCGCCACAGTTCTCTGTCTGGGGCTGCCGTGGGTCGGGGCCATGGGAAGCTTACATGATGCGTGCCCGCTGGGGAAGCTCTTGCGCCCCTCGGCCACCAGGCCGGGGTCCCCCGTGCACAGCAGCTCCGCGTTGGCGCGCCCGTCCGGGAAGCAGCGGTAGAAGAAGTCCGGCCGGGGCCTAGGGCAGAGAACAGGGCACAGCTCAGGAGACCTCCCAGCACCCAGGCTGGAGGGTGGCTGCCGGCCACCTCACACAGCTCTGCTGTGCAAAGGGAAGGTGGCGAGACCCGGCCTGTGAGGAATGGCAGCCCGAGCACGGTGCCCAGCTCTGCCCCAGCCCCGCCACGGCACCGTGTCCTTGCCAGCATGCTGCTGCTCAGGCAGGGCTCTGCTTACCCCAGGGATTAGCACTGAGCTGACCCTCCCCGTCCAGCCTGGCCCAGCCAATCAACCCAGTTTCAAAACAGGGACAGAATTCCTGGGTGGCCTCACTGTGCCCCAGCTGCTCAGGCTGCAGTCACCCCAGAGCAAACCTCCCGGGCTGTGGCTCAGCACCGGTAACTCTTGGCCATGCTGAACACGTGGCCTGGGGAGATGAAACCATCCCACCCACTGCCAAAGAGATCCTCCCCACACGGGCCTCAACAACCTCATCCAAATGACACCTGGAGACAGCAGATCCCTGCCAGCCTTCGTTCTAATATTTAATCACCTTTACAGCTAGAAAAACACGTTCATTCCAAGCTGAGCTTGTCCAGATTGAGGTTACAGCCCTAGCTCCTGCTGTTGTAGTTCTAGCACTGCCTCCCCTCCCACTCAGCACAGCCAGGAATGAGACAGTTTCTCACCTCCCCACTACGAGCTTCAGGGCGTTTGTGAAAACCCCATTGAGGGTGAGAGCAAGGCTGGCAGCTAGGAGAGAGCAGAGAGGTCACGTCAGCATCATCCCCACCTGTCAGTGCTCGGACTTCAGCTGGAGCCACACAGCTCGGCTTTGACACCCCGGGCCCGAGGCCTGTGCCCAGCAAGAGTGCAGGACTCCTCCCTGAGAGCCCGACTCAGCCGCAGCGGCAGGGCAGGCCCCCGGGGGCGCTGCTCTCGGACGCTGCTCTCCGCGGCGGGGAGGAGCTCACCCAGGCAGGCTTCCCGCGTGTCCTCCCGGTCGGCGTGCAGGAACAGCCTCGCCAGGACAATGACCAGCACAGGAGACAGAAAGGCGATGAACTGCCGCGAGACAAGAAGATTGTTGGACGGTGTCCGTTAGTGAAACAGGTTTAAACGCTCCTAAACCCAACCCCAGCTGTCTGTGCAGCAAGCCTGAGCGTGGCTATTCCCTCTGTTGGCACCCAGTGGCAGCACCCGACAGACAAACGCCCTTGGGCCACTGGACGTTGCCTGTACTGAGGTATGAGAAACAAAACCCACCCAGGCAGCATAAATAATGCTGTGCACTAACAATTCCCTTTCTGCAGGCCACTCAGCAGAGCAGGGGAACCTCCTCTCCTCCAAGAAAAGTCCAGCATGTCCCCAAGCTCTCAGACAGCACCTCTGGTGCAAGTGCTGCTCTGGCTGGCTCCCTCCTCTCCTGCTTGTGGGTGTCCCTTCACAGCACCAGCCACAGCGCCCCAACCCTCCCCACCCCTGCAAGAACAAGGGTCAGCTCTTTGTCAGCAGCACCCTCGCTGCTTGTCAGCAATAAACACGGGAGCTGCTGATTCAGAGAAAACCATTTACCACTCCCAGCACCTCAGTGGCTGTGGGATTTTGCCCTGGGATGTGCCCAGGGTGTCCGACAGGCTCCCAGGGAGTCTGCTGCCCCCCGAAGCCTGGCTTTACACCAACACATTCACACACTACTCCGAGGTTTTGTCCTTTAACGCTCATGCCCACCCCTTGCAGAAAATCACACGTGCCAATTGCTCAGAAAGTGGGTGTTTGCCCCAGTCAGGAGCCACAGCACCTGAGGAGAACACCCCTGCTTCGGAGGAGGAGACAACCCCTGCCAAAACCCAACACTCACAGGTTTGTATTAAACCCTTTTGGCAGTGCCTAGAGAAAACATTTTCACAATGAAATGACAACAGAACTCTGCTGAATATAGCTGCTTTCATGCAGAACATTCCCTGACAGGGAGAGAGACGCCATCCTCTGCGTAATCTGGATGTGAAATTCTGTACTAAGAATAATGAGAATGCCCCTCTAGTCTTTATAAACTTGGTTAAAATCCCAAAAGACAACTGCAGATGCAAATGCCTAAGGAGATGACAAAATGACTGTAAATATTTAGCTTTCACTGATAGATGGTCCTTTCGGTAGCATGCATCAAGAGCTACAGGTATTTCAAGCCAAGCCCTGCAGCTGGCGGCTTCGCTTTAACAAGGCACTTTAGAACTGGTGCGGGAGTGCCGGCGGGGCAGCGCTGCACTTACGAACATGGGCACCGCGGGGATGCGATCCACGGCGACGTGGGGGTTCCTGTAGAGCCACATCTCCTCGGGCTGCACCACGCGCTGGAAGGGCGGCAGGAGCTCCATCACCCTGCGGGGAGGAGGGAGAGCCCGGCCGGTGT